TCATAGAGACAAAAAGAAGCCAGGACCTTCTACAGTGTTCAGAATTTTCCACTGAAAATGGATGGCAGACAAGAGCAGGGCATGTAATCCCAGCATTCAGGAGACAGAGGCAGAATGATCGTGAATTTGGGGACATCCTGAGCTATAAAGGGAGGACCCTGTCAAAAAAAAAAAAAAAAGAAAGAAAGAAAGGGGAAAAAGAGAGAGAAATAGAAAATTCTTTGCAGAATACAATCTGACAATGCTGAATAAATACAAAAAAATGTGTATTTTTATCTAATTATGCAAGCTTCTAATGGATCTATTCTGTTCCAGATTCAGGACTAGATGCTGGGATATAAGTACATTTATTTGAGACAGGGTCTCTCTGTAGTCTCAGCTGGCCTTGAACTCACTATGTAGACCAGGCTAGCCTCAGTTTCACAGAGATCCACTTGTCCCTGCTTCCCCAGTGCTGGGATTAAAGGTGTGTACCACCACACCTAGCCTAAAAATACTCTTAAAGTTAAAAAAACTCTTAAAGTTTGTGGCAGAGATGAATGCCCAGCCCAGACTTTCTATATGGATTCCATCACAAGCCAGGCGAAAGGGGAGGTACAGGTAAGGAGTACGTTCATTTGCAGGAGTTAATGGTGGGTGGTGTGTTCTCTTCCATATCTCCACAGGCTCAGGAGCAATTCTGTGACACGTTCAACATATCAGCTCCCAAACACACTACTATCTGTCAGAGGGCTCTCTGGAGAAGTATAGCTATTTGGCCAATAAAGGGAAGATTTAGCAGGCTGAAGGACAACAGTATCCAACCGTGGCTAGCCAGCTGCTCTCCTCTCTCCGTTGCTTCCTCCGTTTTCTTTAGGCTTCACATGTACACGCCTTGTTTTCTGGAACACTCCTTGTCTTTCTGCTTTCTCTTTGTCTTTCTTTTTCTTTTTTTTCTTTCTTTTTTTTTTTTTGGTCTTTTTGAGACAGGGTCTCCCTGTAGCCCCGGCTGTCCTGGAACTCACTATGTAGACCAGGCTGGCCTTGAACTCACAGAGATCTGCCTGCCTCTGCCTCCCGAGTGCTGGGACTACAGGCCTGCACCACCACACCCGGTCTTTTCCTTTTTTTTTAAGGTTTACTCATTTTCATTTTTTGTGTGTGACTGATTGCCTGCATGTATGTGTACCATGTATGTGCCTGGTGCCCCAGGAAGCCAGAAGAGATCATCAGATTCCCTGGAACTGGAATTATAGATGATTGTGAGTCATCGTGTGGCTGTTGGGAATCAACCTGGGTCTTCTGCGAGAGTAGCTGGTGCTCTTACCCACGGAGCCATTTCTCCAGCCCCTTTTCTGCCTTTACAGTTCTTTAGCCATGCTTCTCCTGAAGTCAGCCTTGTTGCTAAGGCCTGTGCTTTTCAGAACTGTATTACCCTGTGCTTCCCTCTTATTACTACATGTATCAGATACTTTTCTGTTGCTGTGAGAAAATACTATGACCAAGAGAAACTTGTAGACAAGACCATTTATTTTGGCTTAAAGTTCCAGATTCCTCTCTATGTACCTGGTACAAAGTAAATGTTCAATAAATGTTTGCAGAAGCCCTGAATCTAGTCTCAGATCTGCAACCAATAACTATGTGCCCATGAACAAGTCACTTTCTTCTCTGGACTTCCGTTTTCCTACCTGTAATATGTAGAAGTAAGGTTAAATGACCACTTAGTCATTCTGACTCCAACCTTTTATGATATTAAGATGTTAACAATATTAAGACGAAGTGTGAAATGGATGTGGTGGCTTACACCTTTAATCCCCGGCACTGAAGATGCAAAGGAAAGTGGATCTCTGTGAGATAAAGGCCAGCCTGGTTTACATTAAAAAGCAAAAAAGGAGGAGGAGGAGGAGGAGGAGGAGGAGGAGGAGGAGGAGGAGCAGGAGGAGCAGGAGGAGCAGGAGCAGAAGGAGGAGGAGGAGAGGAGAGGGAGAGGGAAAGTGGGAGGGAAAGGAAAGGGAGGACAGAGAAGGGAAGAGAAAGGGGGGAGATGGGGGGCAAAAGAAGCTGGAGCTGTGTAAGATAAAGGACAGCGAGGTTTACAGTAAGAAGAAGAAGAGGAGAGGAGAAGGAGGAAGAGGAGGAGGAGGGGAGGAGAAGGAGGAGAAGGAGGAGAAGGAGGAGGAGGAGGAGAGGAGGAGAAGGAGGAGAAGGAGGAAGAGGAGGAGGAGAAGGAGGAGGAGGAAGAGAAGCTCTTTTTTTTGAGACACTTTAAATTATGTCAGGTTTGATTTGCATCAGTACTCCTCACCCCGCAAAGTAATTAAGGATGAGAATTTGGAGTTCTGTTTTAATCTTTTCTACCATAGAATTCAAAGTCAAAGCTGTACAGCTGTTTCTACATGCTTGGTAGGCTCAGCTAACATTTGTCAGGTGAGTGAATAAAAACTATATCCTTCCATTTGTAACGTTGAGACTCTTATGGCTTAGATAGAAGTCATGACCATGCGTCTAGTCACTCACTCAATGCATACTTTGGGCAGTTTACTCTGTGTTAGACACTGGAACATGATGGTCCATAAAAAAGTTATAGAATGTCCTGATCTGATGGGAAAGACAGACATTCAAATTATACACAAACTATAAAGTCCCATGATTGACTCATATTTGTCGCACACATTTTTAGGTTGTAAAAGGCTTTTTACATGCATGACCTCAAGGAAAGTTAGATAATGTAGGGGTTAAAAGTACAGATTTCAGTGTTGTGTAAACCCGAATGCAAGCTGCTTACTCACAAACTAGGCTCTTAAGCAAGATTCTAGATTTCAGTTTCTTCATTTTCAATGGGGAAAAATAGGACATTCATGCAGGGCCATTATGAGAATGCACTGAGATAATGTGTGTACAGCCACAGCACAAGGCTGCTAAGACTAGCTATTTTTTTTCTTTTTAAAAGATCATTCTTTCTTAAAAATCTTTTTTTAGTAGCTATTATTATAATGTATTTTTTTCTACATAGGACTTTCCCCTGTCTCTTCCTCTTTTTCCAGAGGAAAGACAGCTTTGAAATCAGATTTGGTTTTAGCTTTCAAGTCTGAGGCTGGAGACGGTGTTCAATGGTTAAGAGCACTTGCTGTTTTTCCAGGGGTCCAGCGGATCTGAGTTCAGATCTTAGCACCCACATCAGGCAGCTCACAAATGCATGTAACTCCAGCTCCTGGGGACCCAATTTTCTTTTCTGGCTGCTATCGATACACACAAACATCACACACACACACACACACACACACACACACACACACACACATATATGCTCATACACACTCAGATTAAAAAATAAAATGAAAGTGAACACTGGAAAGGCAGAAACAGGTGGATCTTGGGACTTGCTGGCTCTCCACTCTAGCTTTATCAGCAAGATCCAGGCTCCAGTGAGAGACCCTGCCTCAAAATACTGGGAAGGCAGAAACAGGTGGATCTTGGGACTTGCTGGCTCTCTAGCTTTATCAGCAAGATCCAGGCTCCAGTGAGAGACCCTGCCTCAAAAAGCAAGGAGGACGGCACCCAAGGAAGGACACTTAGGGCTGGCTTTGGCCTCCACATGTACACATGTACACACACACACACACACACACACACACACACACAGAGCTTGGGATGATGGGATAGACTGTAATCCCAGCACTCAGGAGGCAGAGGCATAAGGATCAAGAGTTCAAGAAAAGCATGAGCTATGTGCAAACTCTTCTTTAAAAACAAAAGAAAGCCAGGCCTTTAATCCCAGTACTAGGGAGGCAGAGGCAGGTGGGTCTCTGTGACCTGGTCTGCATAGAGAGTTCTAGGTCAGCTGGGGCTATAGGGAGACCCTGTCTCAAAAAAAAAAACAAAAAACAAAACTGGGGAGTGAGATTTGAGAAACTCTATTCAGAGGCAGGGAGGAAATGAAATAAAGGCCACCCTCAAGGCCTCTTCTATCTTAAGCTGCCAAATTGCCCTGTGACTCTGGCAATATGATTGGGGCTGGGAAGTGGGAGTCAGCATAAAATCAGAGAGACATTGAGTATTTGGGTAGAATGCCAGGTCCTCAGAAAAATGCTTCTTTGTCTGCATGCCATCTATGCCAAAGCAAAACACATTAATCAGCATCTTAAAACTGCAAGGGAGTGTCTAGAAAGTTTAAAAAGGAGAAAGGGTAAGTGGAAATTGATTGTTCATGATCATCATTACTAATTCAAGAAGCATAAAATGGTATTGTTAATCTCTTCCCTTAGAGAGCCACTTTATTATACTTTACTAGGCTTCAATATGTATAAGGACTTAATCTTCCTAAGCTTATTTACCATGTACTTTTTATTTTATTTTATTTTTATTATTTTGGTCTTTTTGAGACAGGGTCTCCCTGTAGCCCCAGCTGTCCTGGAACTTACTATGTAGACCAGGCTGGCCTTAAACTCACAGAGATCCACCTGCCTCTGCCTCCCGAGTGCTGGGATTAAAGGCGTGTGCCACCACGCCCGGCTTACCATGTACTTTAAACATTTTTATTACATTTATTTGTTTGTTCTGGGGGTTACCTGCCATAGTATGCATATGGAGACCAAAGGATAACAGGGAGTTGGCTCTCTCCTTCCACTTTGTGGGTTCCAAGAATCAAACCCAGGTCATCAGTTTTGGCAGCAAGTGCCCTTACCTGCTAAGCCGTCTTGCTCGCCCATTTTCCATCTACTTTTATTAGAATAAATGTCTCATTCCCTTCAACCATTCTTTCCCATGGTGATTTTCAGGACTCAACTGTCACGAAGAGAATGGGTGGACGCTGATGTGAAAGTATCTCAATTACTTGGTATTTAAGCCATTCCGCATGGTAGTTCATGAATAGCAGGTTCCAAGCACTAAGCACTGAGTGTGAGTTCAGAAATATTCTGAGTTGCCCTCTGCTACACTGTTACATTTCTCATTGAGCTTAGTCAGCATTGAAAATATGAACAATTTGTATATGTTGCTTTAATTTCTCTTTTACTCCATAGATGGATGGACAAAACGTTGGGTACAGTCTAAGCATCAGCCAGATTACGGTAAATTTCAGCTCACTGCAGGAAAATTTTATCAAGATAAAGAAAAGGATAAAGGTAAATACTAGAATTCAAGCATATACTAAGTGACTGGAAAACGTGTGACTTCTATACAATTGTTTTTATCCATGATCACCAGTTTATTTCTCTTATTTAAAAAAAATAGTAGATGGAACTGGACGTGGTGGGTCATGCCTCTAATCCTTATATTCAACAGGCTGAGGCAGGAGGATTGCCATTAGTCCATAACCAGCCTGGGCTACATGATAAATTCCAGGCCAGCCTGGGTAACAGACTAAGACCCTGTCTCTGTCTCTCTCTCTCTCTCTCTCTCTCTCTCTCTCTCTCACACACACACACACACACACACACACAAGCATGAACTCTCTATAAAACTACAATGCTCATCCATTGGTGAATATTTAAACTAAGCCATTACACATTATCCCTTTAATCTCCCTAGCAGTTTCATGAAATAGTTATTATTTGCCCAGTTTTGCAGAGGTGCCTCAAAGAGGTCGAGCTCTTTGCCCAAGGCTAAATTACACAGCTAAGAGAAACAGTTGAGATTTGACTCTGGGTCTGACTCCAGGGATGGCATTCATGGCCATTAGCCTGTGCTGCTTTCCCCACACCCGTAGGATTTTACAAGTCATTCTCTGCACTGTGAACAGGAGAAAGCACTGCAAAACCCTGCTTTTCCTAGAGCAACTTAGTGTGATGGAGAGGGGAGCAGATGGACCTAGGGCTGATAGGCGAGCTATCCAATTGGAGTATGTCTTTTTACGTCTGAGTGTTGATACTAGATGGAGATGGTGACCATGAACTGACATGCTCCCTAGACAGGGCTTTTGCGAGGGTCAAATCATATTGTGGAAGAAGGGTGGGTTCTGAGGACAAAGACTGCAGACGCGGGTTATCGGTCTGAGGAAGCTTTTACTCTATTCCTAGAGTTCATTGATCATTCCCTGGAGTGATTTCCCATCTTCTTCCATCTGGTTGCTGTTATGAACCTTATTTTCATGTTTATTAAAGGAGAGAATTATGCTCTGGCTTGAGAATTATAAATCTTATTTAAATCCACTCTGGAAAACTGTTTCCAGAGGAGAGAAAACTGGAGACCGAGTGTCCTGTGGGTCCCCTGTATCTTGGTAGCGCTAGTAAAGTAAGAACCATACATCTCCTCACACTTTGGCTTCTCGATTGTTGCCCTGCAACTCCTCCTCTGGTGTTCATTGGGTTTCCCTGGTTGTCTGTAAGGGTTATAAAGCAGGGCAGAACCTCAGAGCCTGGTCTTTTGTTATTGCGCCTACTCCTTCCTCCCTGTCTCCTTTGGCCCCCTTGAGGTCTTTAAGAAAGTAGGCATACTCTTCAAAACAAAGATAGTTCCTAACATGATATACAATAGGAAAATGCTTACCACAGAATTGGCGTACAAGAAATACTCACAGCCTTGTCTAAATCAGGCCCTGAGATCCTCTGTGTAATTTAGTACTTTTTTGCTATTGTTTTTGAGGTGGGGTTTTGTATAGTTCAGGCTGATATTGAACTCACTAAGTGACTGAGGCTGGCCTCCAACTTCTATTCTGATTCTCCTAGTGCCACCTCCCAGGGCTGGGGTTACAGATATGCCACCACACCCAGTTTAACACTTCTTCATTGAGCATTTTCCCTATGTCAGCCCCTGTCCTAGATATGGGAAACACAAAGATGGCCCTTGGTTGTTGTTGTTGTTTGGTTTTTGTCTTTTGGAGACAGGGTCTCCCATAGCCCCAGCTGGCCTCAAACTCTCAGAGATCCACCTGCTTCTGCCTCCCAAGTGGTGGAATTAAAGGAGAGTGTCACCATGCCTAGCTGTCTTTTTTAGAGTTTAGAAATTGTTCAGAGAGTGAAATAAAATCTCATTTCAACAGAGTATGACCCAAGGAAGTACAGAGAACTGTGGAATTATGAAGAAAGGATCCTTAGCAATTGTGAATGATAATAACCCCTTATGTTTGATGTTAATAGTTTATAAACTATTATTACTTTTGATCTTCATTGGGAACTGGGGCCTGCATGAAGCAGAAATAATTATCCACGCTTTGTTAATGAGTAAGTGGTGGGACTCAGAGAGTTAACATGACAGAGCGATAACCAGTAAGCTGGACAGCAACATGGCATAGTAAAAGGACTACCAGCTTGGGAACCAGGACCGTATGTGGCCAGACATCTGTTTGTCATTTGTGACGGTGTCATCTTCAGCAAGTAACTTTCCCTCTTTGAGTCATGGTTTCTTCATGTGGTTGGTTAGTTTAGAAAGGCTCTGGAGTCCCTGGCAGCTTTGCTACTGGAGGTTGGGGACTCTGGAGTTAGAACTGGCTGGATGATCCTGGAGCCATGAAATAGCCTCAGTGGCTTCATGACAAAGTGATCAGTGTAGCTCACCTCACATGGTTATTGTGAGGGTTAAATGCAATAACCCAAGTGAATGAAGAGTAGAGTTAAATGTTCGGGGCTGGGGAGGACTTAAATGGTAAGAGTGCTTGTTGAGCAAGCATGCGGACTGAGTTCCAGAACCCATGTAACAGCTAGGCATGGCTGCATGCTCCTGTAACCCTAGTGCTGGGGTTTGGAGGATAACTGGGACCCGTTGATTACTAGCCCAGCTCCAGGCTTAGTGACAGACTCTGTCTTAAGAGAATAAGGTGAAGAATGATAAAGCAGGACACCTGACATCTTCCTCTGGCCTCTGTCCACACAGAGGTGTATATACACACATACACACACCACACATACATCTCACAAATACATACACACACAGTTTTGACATACCTCACAAACACACACATACACGTTTTTAAAGGGTTAAATTACAATAAATTACAACAATGATCACTATGTGTCTAGGCATTAATTCTGGGCTTCTTTCTACGCTTCTACATTGCAGAATCTCCTTCTGGCACCCAGTGGGTCTCAGCCTGCTTTTACAAAACTGCACAATGGGGCTGAAATCTCTCTTGAAAATCAGTGGTCCATGATATAGGCAAAAGAGCATTAAATGTAACTTAAAATTCTATTTAGATTCTTATTAGCCATGTAGCTTATGCTCCCCAAGGCTCAGCTTAGAAAGTGAGGACATTGTTCCACTTTGGAGGCATTTCAACATGAAGTCTCTGCTCTCTCTCTGCCCTCAGGTCTCCAGACCAGCGAAGATGCTAAATTCTATGCTCTTTCAACCAGGTTTAAGCCATTCAGCAATGAGAATGAGACCTTGGTGGTTCAGTTTTCAGTAAAACATGAGCAAGGCATTGATTGTGGTGGAGGGTATGTGAAGCTCTTTCCTGCTACCCTCAATCAGGAGGATATGCATTCAGAATCCCAGTATTACATCATGTTTGGTAAGCTCCCTGATAGCATCTGCTGTCGGCCTCACAGTTCTGGAGAAGAAGCACTGTGGTTGTTGAAAGGGTTTAGATAGATCTGGAACAGAGGTTTTGTAGCTGGATAGCTCCATATTGCCTGGGCAGTTGGACTCTCCAGAGACCTGAAAAAAAACAAGGCTCCTCTAAACTAAATGCTAATCTAAATAGACAAAAAAGTTGGGGAAGCAGGTGATATTAACAAGTCTATGGTATAGGGAGGCATAGCCCAGTTCTCAGAAAAGAAGCATAGACCTTTAATAAGCCACTGTGCTCTGCCTCAGAGAGACACCCCAGAGTAGAGAAATGACCTTCAACCAAGCACCTGTCATGTGTCCTGAGTGTGACATTTGTAACCTAAGTACGTAACTAGGCCTCCTTGAAGCTATTCAGCTCTTACTTAGCTCCATACAACTTTGAATCCAGTTTCAACACCTGTTGATATTGGAAAAACAGCAAACAAGCACTCCAATTTGTAAAGCACAGGTGAACATGGATTGAACCAGATTATTTTGTACAAAGAGAGGTTATACTGAACATTAGGCACCAACATCTCCTGAATTCTCTATGCCCTTCTTACTTTTCCCAGAAAGCTTCAGATCTCTTTATCTTTCTCTGTCTCTCTCCTCTTTTTGCCTCTCTCTTCCCTCCACCTTCTCCCCTCCTCTCCTCTTTTTCAAACCCTCCTCTTGCCTGGTGGCACACACCTTTGACCCCGGCACTTGGGAGAGAAAGGCAGATAGAGCTCTCTGAAATAGAGGCCAGCCTGGTCTACATAGCGAGTTCCAGGCCAGCTGGGGCTGCAGGGGACACCCTGTCTCAAAAACAAACAAACAAAAACATACAAAAAAAACCTCAAATCCTCTTCTTCAGCCTCATTGCCCTTTATCTATTACGTTCTCCTGCCCCCACAACTCTTTGTTTTTTCTTAAATTTTAATCCCTTTGTGAGTGTGTGTGTGGGGGGGGGTTACTGGTTTTGTTTTTGTTAGATTTTTTATTTATTTATTTACTTATTTATTGAGACAGGGTGTCACTTCATAGTTCAGGCAGTTCTGAAACTCACTATGTAGCTCAGACTAGCCCTGAACCCATAGCAATCAATCTTCCTACTTCAGCCTCCTGTGTGCTGGGACCGTAAGTGTAAGCCACCACACCTTCTCACTTGCATCTTTTTCTTAGGCAAACTGTAATGCTCAAGGTATGTAAAATGTGTATCCGTTCCAGAATATTTCTGTTTTCTTCAAAATCTGCCCTTCTCAGTGTGTATGTGTATGTGTGCACGGAGATGGTAGTAGGGCAATTAGAGATAATAAAAGAGTGATTCTCACTGGGTGTGGTGGTGCACACTTTTAATCCCATCACTCAGGAGGCAGAGGCAGACAGTAAAAAGCCAGAATTTTGAGCCATTTTGTCTGTCTGCAAACCTTGTGTACTAGTTTATTCTTCATTGCGTTGACAAAATACTCTGACCACTACCAACTTGGGGAGGAAAGGGTTTATTTAGCTTACATATCCTGGGTCACCATTCATCCGGGAGCTCAAGGTAGGCACTCAGGGCAGGAACCTGGAGGCAGGAGCTGGAGCACAGGCCATGGAGGAACGCTGCTTACTGACTTGCTCCCCTGGCCCATGCTCAGCCTGCTTTCTTATACAACACAGGCCCACCTGCCCAGGGGTGGCACCACCCACAGTGGGCTGGGCCCTCCCACATCACTTATCAAGAAGATGCCCCTCAGATATGGCCACAGGCCAGTCCAATAGAGGCAATTGCCCAATTGAGGCTCCCTCAACCCAGGTGTGTCAAGTTGACACTAAAGCTATCCAGCACACCTTGTATCTTCTATTTTAAGGCAACTGAATAACTTTTTAAAATGCAGAATGAAAAACACATTCTTTTTTTAATTTTTTAAAACAATTTTTTTGGTCTTTTTTTGAGGCAGGGTCTTCCTGTAGCCCCAGCTGTCCTGGAACTCACTATGTAGACCAGGCTGGCCTCGAATTTACAAAGATCCACCTGCCTCTGCCTCCCAAATGCTGGGATTAAGGGCGTGGGCCACCACACCCAACTTATTTGTTATTTTTATTTTATGTGTAGGCACATATTGCCTGCATGTAGGTAAGTACACCGATGTTGTGCAATACCCATGGAGGGCAGAAGAGGGCATCAGATCCCACGGAACTGGACAGACAGTTGTTAGCTGCCATGGGTGCTGGGATTCGAACCCCGGTCTTCTGCAAAAACAGTCAGTGTTCTTAACTGCTGAGCCATCTCTACAGTCCCCGAAAAACATATTCTTAAAAAGGCATTGAGTCAGGTGTGATGGTACACACCATTCTCAGAGGCAGGGACAGGTGGATTGCTATTAAGTTCCAGGCCAGTCTGGTCTACATATCACCTGAATATCCAGGTCCTTCTAAAGTTCATTGCCTTTGCCTTCACTATTCCATCCGCATCTCCCAAGCCAGCCAATGCATCCTCTGCTCCTTGACTCCTTGTCCCTACCTCCTCTCCAAGGTGTATGGAATATCTCTCCCTATCCATGAGCTCCTGAAGATACACCTCTGAGCCCAGCAGCAAGCATGGCCTTCCAAGCACCCTTGATAACTATGGGGTACTTGAATGAGTCCCAGGGGCTTCATGATTCATTTGACTGGTGAGATACCCAAGGCTACTTAGTATCTCAAAAAAAGTTATAAGAGCATTTGCTGCTCTTGCAGAGGACCCAGGTTCTGTTCCCAGCATCCATGTGGCAGCTCACAACCATCTGTAACTCCAGTTCCACGGGATCCAACACCCTCTTCTGGCCTCGTTGGTCACTAGGCAATGCGCATGGTACACATACATACATGCAGGCAAAACACTTATATGCATCAAGTTTTTGAAAATAAATCCTTTAGCTGGTAGTGATGGCATATGCCTTTAATCCCAGCACTCAGGAGGCAGAGGCATGAGGCTTTCTGTGAGATAGAGGCCAGCCTGTACATAGCAAGCTCCAGGCCAGTTGGGGCTACAGGGAGACCCTGTCTCAGAAAGAAAAAAAAAAGTTAAATTTTAATAGGAAGAGAAGGGCATGCATGTACAAAAGCTTAGTCATAAAATTCAAAAGCATGTAAAGAGATGAGAAGACCAATGTGGCTAAAGTACAGCATAAAGTGCAGCATGAATGTCTCATATGTGTATATGTGTGTATGTGTGCATCATGTGTGTGTAGTATATGTGCGTTGTGTGTGTATTGTGTTGTGTCTTGTATGATGTGTATGTGTTTCATGTGTCTTGTATGGTGTGTATGTGTTGTGTGTGTTGTGTATACTGTGTTCTATGTGTGTGTTGTGTGTAGATGTTTATGTGTGTCATGCATATGTGTTTTATGTATGAGCATGTGTGTACTGTGTACATTATGTGTGTACATTTTGTGTGTTGTATGTGTGCTTCACTGAAAGGCTGAGGAGCTTTTTATGAGTTACGGGTAGAGCAATAACAGGAGGGACTCAGAGCTCTCTAGGCCCTGAGGCTCTAATCCACAGTTCTAGAATTGTCACATAGTGCAAAGAGCCTCGGGCCCCAGTAGTAGGTAGGCAGGACTTTGAATTCTGACAACTTCTTACTTTTGACAAGTGCTTGACTTTTCTGAGTTGCATTTTACCACCCGAAAGTGGAGATAGTAATGCCTTCAATTGGTTTGGTCAGTGGGGTCCTGGCAGGAGATTAGAGGAAGAGAAGAAAGTTGTACCCCTCAGCTGAAAGTTACCTTCTCTCCTCCTGTGCCCTCTTAGGACTGTCTTCAGGATCTGGTCCCCCTCCTCCTCCCCATCCGTTCTCTGCTGCTAGCCTGACTATATCTTTTGTTTTCTCAAAGGCATGCTCCCCCCTTGCAAATAATCCCTTTTGTTACATCTCTCTCAAATAATCCTGATTCTTTCTGGAAACACTGATGAATACACAGTCTGTGTCTGCCTTGGGTCTTAGCCTTAGACTGGGCAAATTGCCTGAAATCAATGTGAAATCATGCTTTGGGGTTTAATTTCTAGGCCCGGACATCTGTGGCTTTGGCAACAACAGATTACAGGTCATCCTTTATCACCAAGGGAAATACCATGAGAACAACAAGACTCTCAAGTGTAGGGTGAGTACGTGACGTGGTCCTCAGCTAGAAAGAAGGAAAAACATTTTGTATACGTTCTCTCATTTCATTCTTATAAAAACTCCATCAGTTAAACACTATCATCTCATTTCACAGATTAAGTAGACCTAGAGAAGTGCTATAAATGGTAGACATTCATGAAGGAACAGGTGACCAAAAAGCCTGGGAAGTCATCTAGTGTCCTCAAAGCTTGGTGTGACCTAGTAGTTACCCACTGCTAGATATTGGAGAGGATGGAGAAGGAAGTTCTGAACTTAGATGAGGTGTAGGTCCGTTTATCTCACATCAGGTTAGAGACACCTAGGTTGGCTAGAGGACAGTAGGTAGATTTCATAGTGTAGGTCCGTTTATCTCACAACATCAGGTTAGAGACACCTAGGTTGGCTAGAGGACAGTAGGTAGATTTCATCAACAGTTCTAATGGACGTTAATTAAATGTTAACTCTGTCCTGGGCCTTGAGTTAGGGAGAGACTGAACCAGACAGGACTCCTGAATAATCAAACTCACATTAAGCCAGACAGTAACTTGTGCCTATAATTCCAGCTACTTGAGAGGCTGAGGTGGAAAGATTGTAAATTCAAGGCCAACCTGGTCAACTTAGCAAGAGCTTACCAAAACAAAACAAACCTTCACAGTGAAGTAAAGAGTCAAGAAAAGGAAGAAGACTATCTGATTTGTGTCTGCAGACGCACCGAGGACTCCTACCCAATCTGGAGGCTTAAGCAATTACTGCTTCCCAGAGAAGGTGTCCCTTGTACTTATCCTTTTTGAAGGATAAACATATTCTTGTAAATAAATATGACAATTCTGTGGAGAACTGAATTCCTTGGAGAGGATATTACATAAGAAAAGTCAAGGAGGAAGCTGGAGAAACGGTTCAACAACACTGGTTGCTCTGGCAGAGGACTGGGTTCGATTCCCAACACCACATGGTAGTTCACAAGCCTTCATAACTCCAGTTCCAGAGGAATCCAACACCCTTTTCTGACCTCTGAGGGCATTTGCATGACACAGGTGCACTTACACACATGCAGGCAATACACTCATGCCCATCAAATAAAAATAATAAAATATTTTTTTAAAAAAAAGAAAAGTCAAGGAAACTTGAGAAACTGTGGACAGCGAAAGAGTTGATATAGCTGGATCACCAGAGAAAGGCTGGAACAGGCCTTGCTGACCAAGACTGTACAGGGGTTGTATGTATGAGGCACTCCTCTGGGGCAGATACTGGGTTAGAGGCTATAGATATGATAGATGAGTCATATACAGCCCCTGCTATTGAGAATCTCACCGTTTACTAGGACAGACAGAAAAACAAGATCAGAGAATGATCAGACCTGCAAAAGAGGAGGGGTGATGGAGAGGAGAGACCACAGGAGTGAGACCACAGGCAGAGTGATCCCAGAATCCCTGTAGGTTTGTTACCTAGATAAAGGGGAGAAGGGATGTGGTCAAGTGTGTTAATATGTGGGAGGCTGCATCAGGGAACACGATGCCTGAGATCTCGGATGTTCTATATGGAACTGAAATATCATCTGTTCCCTTTATAGATCAATAAAGACACTCACCTATATACTCTGATCCTTCGCCCCAATGCTACTTATGAAGTTAAAATTGACAATCAGAAAGTAACAACAGGAGAACTGGAAGATGACTGGGACTTCTTGCCTCCCAGGAAAATAAAAGACCCCTATGCCAGGAAACCAAGGAAATGGGATGAACGTCTGCAAATAGAGGATCCTGGAGATAAGAAACCTGAGGTCAGTGGGAGTGGATGGGAATTTAATCCTAGGGAGAGGGAAGTGGGAAGTAGAGTCAGAATCAGGGATCAGACAGTGTTTGGGGTTTTCTGCACCAAGAGAAAAAAGGGATTGACTTCTAGTCAGGTCTAGCAGGCATGCTCAGGGCAACAAGACTGACTGTAAACCCTGCCTCCTGGCGAAGAAGAAGACTATGTATCTGCCGCAGTCAGGGTTGACTAGAGGCTTGAGGAAGGGCAAAGAGATTGCGGGCCTTTGTGTCCCTGAAGTCTGGACAACAGGAAGATAGAAATTGATGAACTAAGCCAGGCATGGTGGGGCACGCCTTTAGTCCCAGCACTTGGGAGGCAGAGGCAGGCGGATCTCTGTGAGAGTGAGGCCAGCCTGGTCTACACTGCAAGTGCCAGGCGACAGGGAGACCCTGTGCCAAAAATACCAAAAAACGAGGGGAAAAAAATCAAAATAAAACAAAAAACCCGGTGAACTAAGTAGAGCTCGGTTTCCTGAGGTAGGGAAGTAACTGCTTGGCAGTTTGAGTTTTGAGAGAGCCTTGCTTAGCTAATCTGTCTCAGGAATTACAGTACTTCTCAGAAATATGCATTGACAATTATTGTGGGAGTAAACTATATCCAAACCATAGCAGCACACATGACTGGGGAAGGTGAGGTCAGAGAGAGGGATAATATCCATCTTAAGTAAATTTAAAACATTCAAGGTCAGGGTGAAGGTGATTCCAAGGATGGGGGGGGGGTCCAAAAAGCCTCTTTTTTTCTCCTTTGGCTGGTTTGCAATGTCCTGCTCTGGGCTGTCATAGAGGGAAGCAGGAACCAACACCCCCTCTCTGCACTTGAAACCCCAGTTTCATCCCAGATCATGCCTCTGTCTTCATGAAGAAATACTGCATTTTAGGACTGGGAGGACTTTGAGTTCATTCCAGACCCAGAAGCCAAGAAGCCAGACGACTGGAATAAGACAATGGATGGGGAATGGGAAGGGCCCCTGATCCAGAACCCCAAGTACAAGGTGAGGACGTCTCTCTCTCCAGCGGAAACTTCCCAAAGACAATCAGATGGAAGAAACGTAAATTGTGACTTACAAAACGGAAATTCTAAGCGGGGCCTGGTGGTGCAGGCCTATAATCCTAAACCTTGGGAGGCTGAGGTGGGAAGACTGAAAGTTCAAGGCCAGCCCCCAGTGGGCTACACAGCAAGACATTTTCTCAAAATAAAATAAATCAAAACACAAATTCTGAAATCCTGTGCTCTCCCGCTCCATACCCCAGATAGTGCCTTGTCCTCATCAGAGACCTGTTCTTGGAGCTGCACCTACTTGGGATGGGGAGGGTTGGCAAAACCAGTACTGAGAGGTAGAGGTTCAGGCAGGCTTGGGCAAGGAGATTGTCCCTGGCTGTGAAAAGCGGCCAGTCAAAGGAACATGGTGTGAACAGGGAATGGGTCTGAGGTCAAGAACTGGACATCTTAGAAGCAGGCCAGAAGGGAAAGGAGTGGGATCTACAGGAGCCCAAGGAATCTGGGAGAAAGGGGAACTTCTTTTTAATAGTTAACTCCTGACCTCATGTCAGAAGCAAGAACTAAAGAATCAGCTGAAAAACTGTCCAGCAACAAAACTGACAAAGGCAAGCATTTTATCTGGCCGCAGTTTCCTGTGCCATACATGAGGAAGAGACCAGTCAGAATGTCAATATTCTTAGATGATGTTTTTCTGAAAAGTTGCATTTTCTTAACTTCCTAAGTGAGCTTGTGTAGAAAGAGAGCCAGACTAAACAGGCCCTACCATGTCATCTGTCTCCCTATAGGTAGAAAGGAGAACTTGGATGTGTCTTCCGCCTTCATTCAAAAAAAGAGGAAAAAGATTCCAGGAATCTTGTTCTTAATCTTTACGTCTAATATACAGCTGTTTATAAATTGATTAACCTTTTTTGACTGAATGAAATCAGAAGAATATAAAATTATTACTGACATGTTCACTTTCGGCTCTTCATTCAGGGACACTGGAAACCCCGGATCATTGACAATCCCAATTACCAGGGAGAGTGGATTCATCCAGAGATAGACAACCACAAATATAAGCCTGACCCCACCATTTGTCACTATCATAATATCAGTGTTCTTGGCCTGGATCTTTGGCAGGTAAAGCTCTCTTGGCTCAAAGCCATGAATCAACAGTCCCTGTAATTCTCACAAAGTGCAAAGAGCCCCAGGCTGGAAATCACAGTTGAATAAGTCTTGCTTTTTCCAAACCTTAAATTACTCATCTTTAAAACGGGAGTCATATTCATCTTCAAAATTATAAGAGCTAAAGTTTATTTAGCATTTCTATGTACTGCTGTATAAAAGACTTCAAAGCTCCACTTAATTTTTATTGTGTATCTATTTCTAACCATGAAGAATGAATGCATACCTGGTAAGGTGAACAGGAAATGCAAGACCTGAGTGCTGATCGTTCTAGCATGGTCTTACATGATTCTTTTTGTTTTATTTTGGGTTTTTATTTGTTTTGTGGCAAGGTCTTGTGCAGCTCAGAATGGCCTTGAACTTGCTATATAATAAAGGATAACCTTGAATTCCTAATACTCCTTCCTCCACTTCAAAAGTGCTGGGACTACAGGCTTGCCTCATCTTGCCCAGCCTGTCTTATGAGATTCTTGAGGGATGGGTCTGTAGGTAAACAGAAAGTCTGAAATATCAAAGTCCCCAGACAGGTATTGGGAGCTTTTATTTCAGCTGTGATAACAAATCCTGACATTACCTCCCTCAGTCTTCAAAACATCTTCCCTGGGCCTTACCTGGAAGGGAAGAGATAATCTGGCCTTTGGACAGTTGCTCTCCCTCCCATCCCTTTCTCCTTCGAGACCTATCTGGCCCACTATTTGTCTGGGAGATCTCTAGAAACAACTATCCACAGAGCCCTGGAAGAACTTCTGGAGAAAAGAGAACCCTGATTTGCTCAAAATTGGCCTCACATTAGTGCTTTATCCAAATTGCCTTCCTTAGTTCTCACTGAGTAAAGTGAACTTTAGTACCTCAGATTAATACTTTATATTTGAGAGCAATAAGGCTCAGAAATGTAAATGTGCGCAGGAGCACACAGCTAGTGCTTGGTAGAGACAGGAAAATGCACATGAGGTCTGCCTACCTCTAAAATCCTTGTTGTGATCGGCTATACCCTCAGTAAGACAGAGCCTGAGAAATCACTGCCTCAGGGCTGGAGAGATGGCTCAATGGTTAAGAGCACTGGCTACTCTTTCAGGGGACCTGGGTTCGGTTCCCAGCACCCACATGACAGCTAACAACCATCCTAACTCCAGTTGCAGGGAATCTGATGCCCTCTTCTGACCTCCAAGGGCATTTCACTACACTGGTGCGTTTACGTACATGCAAGCAATACACTCATACACATTAAATAAATAAATAGAGAAAATATTTTTAAAAAGAAAGAAATCGCCACCTCCCGTCCTTAGGTGAGTCCCGAAAGGTCTCTGTCTCTGACCAGTGACTCAACTCCTTTCCCTTTACTCCTCCCCTCTCTTCCTCCCTTTCTCTTGTTCTCTCTTTCTTGCTTCTTTTATAAGGACCCTCTGTAGTCCCAGGTGACCTCCAAATAGAAATCCTCCTGCCTCAGACTCCTAGTGCTGCTGTGAATACAAGCACTCCTGACTGGCGGTTCCCACTGTTCCCTGATTCCGTAGTATCTGGGACAGGCAGCCATGTTGAGACATTCTTCATTTCTTTATCCATTTCCCACTTAGTTTTTTTCAGCTTCCTCAGTTCCCCGACATGTGTGTGTATGTGAATGTACACATATGTGCAATGTGCCATGGCATATGTGTGGAGGTTAGAGGACAAGTTATGGGAGTCTGCTCTCTCCTTCCACCATGAGGGTTCCAGGGATTGAACTCAGATTGTCACACTTGCTGGCCCTTAAAATGTTTTTGTTTTTGTTTTCCATGGAAAACATTAAGGTATACATTTCAAATTATACCATTGTTCATCTAAAAAACTTAAAGTTATTTGGCACTAATTGCTCTGTGTTCTGTCAACCTCTCTAAACAGGCAAACCTTTCTATTTGAAGACTGTAACCATGTCATGCTCTCCAAACCTCAATAATAATGCATGTAGGTCAAAAGTGGATCTCACTAAACTACAGGTTCTGATCTGGAATGAAGTCCAAGAGATGTCATTTCTAAAATTCTAGATTATCGTGTGTGTGTGTGTGTGTGTGTGTGTGTGTGTGTGTGTGACTATATATTTTCGTGTGTGTGTGTGTGTGTGTGTGTGTGTGTGTGTGTGTGAGAGAGAGAGAGAGAGAGAGAGAGAGAGAGAGAGAGAGAGAGAGAGAGGGAGGGAGGGAGGGAGGGAGGGAGGGAGAGAGAGTTCTGTGTAATGCTGATATCAATCACCCTCGCAGGCATTCTTTCCTTATAATTTCTAATTAGGTTTGACACTCCCAGCTCTTACCCTAACCCTCACTCAGCCAACAAGGAAGATCCAGTTAGCCACAGAATCCTTGCATTTTATCAGAAAATGCATGTGACTAAGCATAGGGATAGCCAGCATTCTTTTACCTGCCCTTCTCCAGCCTCTGGTTTTCCAGCCTTTAGACCCTCTGCCATCCCAGCTACCCTCCCCATCCCTCCTCTGTCTCAGCCTAGTAAGCCTAGCCTCTGACCCTCCTGTTCCCTTTTCTGACACTGGATCCTTTCACTTTTTTTTCAGGTAAAGTGATTGCATTCTGGGTTCAGGGCTGAGGCTGAGAGGAGATGACCAAGAACAAACAACGTTCTTCTTTTTCTAGGACTGCTTATGATCTTTGAAGGGATAGTTGCACAAACTGCAATGAGTAGAGCCTGGGTATAATGCAAAGGGCATTGACCCCCTACATCAGGTGATCTGGGCCTCGAACATGCTATGCAAGTGTACAACTGAGCTACACCCATATCCCCATCTCCATTTTACTAAGGAGAAAAAGGAGGGCTCAGAGATGTAAACCGAAACCTAAAAACCTCCACTCTTTCATTTATTATATTTTAACTTTTAAATTTATTTCTGTGTATGTGATGTGCCTGTATGCAGTATATGTGTGAGTTTGGTGAACTAGCCCACACTGATTCAGGTGGAGATCAGAGATAGGAGGCTGACGCTGGGTGGGTCTTCCTCAGCTGCTTGTCCATCTTTTTTCCTTCCTTCCTTCCTTCCTTCCTTCCTTCCTTCTTCCTTCCTCCCTCCCTCCTTCCTCCTTCCTTCCTTCCTCCTTCCTTTTTCCTTCCTTCCTTCCTTCTTTCCTCCCTTCCTCCTTCCTCCTTCCTTCCTTCTTCCTCCTTCCCTCCCTCCCCCTTCCTCCTTCCTTCTTTCTCCTTCCCTCCCTCCCCCCTTCCTCCTTCCTTCTTTCCTTCCTTCTCCCTCCCTCCCTCCTTCCTTCCTTCCTTCCTCCTTCCTTCCTTCCCTCCTCCTTCCTTCCTTCCCTCCTTCCTTCCCTCCCTCCTTCCTCCTTCCTTCCTTCCTTCCTTCCTTCCTTCCTTCCTTCCTCCCCTCCTTCCCTCCCTCCTTCCCTCCTTCCCTCACTCCCTCTCTCTCTCTTTCTGTCTCTCTGTCTCTGTCTCTCTGTCTCTCTGTCTCTGTCTCTGTCTCTCTCTCTCTCTCTCTCTCTCTCTCTCTC